ACTGCACGTTCATAGGCCTCCGGCCGGGCCTCCTGTGCTGCCCCGCCCAGCGGGGGCCCCAGCACAGTCGGCCCTCTTGCCGACGGTATTTGCCATGTTACACTCATCACTTGACTTACGGACACTTGTTACTTGACCCACAGTACATTTTCCGACAATGTCCAAACCCGGCTTCGAACCCACGACCTAACGCTCGTCAAACCAACTACTAGCCCATTACGCCAATGCGCCACACAAAACTCATATCGAACTTTTCGCTACGCCTTTGCACAAAGCGCGATTTTTGGGGCGCATTTTCGCATAAAACGTGAGTTGACAAATTATCGTGGTCGATTTCTCGTGAGCAAATCTATAAACCAGAATTCTAAGACCATATCTGTGCTAATAAAGGCCTTCTCTACCTACACCCGAAGTTTGAAAAACTTTTTTGTGGATTTTGAGCGAAATCGGCTTCAAAAGTACCAAATTCGCTGTGTATTCTGGGAGGTATTTTAGCGCGCGCCCGGGGCCCCTCCCCCTGCGCGCTGAAGTGTTGAGCGTGTCAAAAAGACGTCCACCTAGCACCGGTGTGGTGCCTGATCGGTGCACTGCGTTGGCACCATGCTAGTAGCAGCAGCCCGACTTGTCACATTGTGCTACGCTATTGTGAGACTCGTCATTAGTGCTGGCTAGTCCTCCTTGTCGGTGTTGTCGTCGCAACCATCGGCCGTATTGTCTGCTCCGATGGTTGCGCCGTCTCCACTACTGTTGGTTGAATTGCTCAGGGTACTGCAGTAGGTTGCGCTGTCGCGCGTTACTTAGAGCTATCGGAGGGGAATCGCAGGGCTGTAGGCACTGAGGGGTCCGTGCACCCCACTAGCGTGGGGCCCCGCACGGACCTTCTGGGATTCGAACCTGAGACCTTGGGAATGAGAAACATGAGCACTAACCACTACACTATCGTCTACCTGAATGAATTGTTGTTCATTAGGAGTCGTCAGGCTCTACGGTGCTATGCAATGTTAAATCACTGCCATGTTTCGACATAGATAATGATACTGAGCACTACACTGAGCCAACTACAAACAATAAGACTCAATAGAGTGGCTGGACAACCATCACTGACGAAATTCCAAAATGTACACAACCAAGATTTGAACCTGAATCACCCGCATGACCAACCTGAAGACTAACCATTAGACCAAAACCCTTATACAGAAATGGAATGCCTCAATAATATCGGTAGATGCTCGGACTAGTTCAAACCTACTTGGACACTGGTGAGTGCTCATCCACAACCTCACGGACACTATCCTACTGATTGCTGTTGCACTTATCGCTGTAACACCCAATCCACTAACCTACTCCGAGTACGGGGACTTATTCCAGAATATACCTCAGCCAAGATTCGAACCTGGGTCTCCCGTGTGACAGTGCACGCCCTTCACGTGCTGGACTAAACTGATTGTTGATATAGTACTCCCATGTCATGCCTCCCTACATTGAATGGAAAAAGACTAAATCGGTTATTTCTCGTAAACGGCTCATAACATTTGAAAAATTCTTTCATATTATTACTCAGCTCGACGAGAGGAGTCGATTGCACCCATTTTCAGGGCAATCCTTACTGTCATTAACGAAATCGGCTTCGAACTCGCTCTTTTTTGCTGTGAATTCCTACCGGCTATAATGCGCGCGCCCGGGGCCCCTCCCCCAGCGCGCAAAAAGAGGCGAAAAGGGAGGAGCGCTCCATCCACCAAGGGTCCGGTGCGAGAAGATATGAGGACGCTAGGTGAAAAATGAGATCCACAAGCGTGCTTCTTCGAAGCCAAAACGGCACTGCCGTGATAGCAACTAACTTGTGATGCACATTTCAATCTTAGAGGCCTATCGAGCAGTACTTCTCATATGATGAAAGAAACGGACGAAGAGAAAAAGCAAATAAAGGCATTACTGCTGCTGGGGCGGTTCGGCCAGAAAATCTGTCCGAACCGCCAAGTAAGTGTACAGGCTTGGTGAGCTAGAGAAGACGTGATATCAGGTATAATAGGTTACCAACGAGACTTACTAACTATATTTTGTTACATACTTATCTCAAGAAAAT